CTAAATGGAGATTTAGAGGAAGATGTATATATGGATCAACCAATGGGATTCATAAACAAAGGAAAAGAACACATGGTGTGTAAACTTAAGAAATCAATATACGGACTTAAGCAAGCTTCCTGACAGTGGTATCTCAAGTTCAATGATACCATTATGTCCTTTGGATTTAAGGAAAACATTGTTGATCGATGTATATATCTAAAGGTCAGTGGGAGTAAGTTTATTTTTCTAGTTCTGTATGTTGATGACATCTTGCTTGCAACTAATGATCTTGGTCTTTTAACTGAGACTAAGAAGTTTCTCTCTAGAAATTTTGAAATGAAAGATATGGGTGAGGCAAGTTATGTGATTGGAATAGAAATATTCCGGGATAGGTCACAAGAATTGCTAGGCTTGTCTCAGAAAGCATATATTAATAAAATTTTAGAGAGATTCAGAATGGATAAATGTTCAACATCTCTTGTTCCAATTCAGAAAGGAGACAAATTTAGTCTTATGCAATGTCCAAAGAATGATTTGGAACGAAAATAAATGGAAGAAATTCCTTATGCATCTATAGTTGGGAGCTTAATGTATGCTCAGACTTGTACGATACCAGATATTAGCTTTGCAATTGGGATGTTGGGAAGATACCAAAGTAATCCTGGTATAGACCATTGGAAAGCTGCAAAGAAAGTTCTGAGATATTTGCAAGGTACAAAAGAGCACATGCTTACTTATAGGAGATCTGATCATCTTGAGGTGATTTGATATTCAGATTCAGACTTTGCCAGATGTGTAGATACAAGAAAATCTACATTCGGTTATTTGTTTATGTTGGCTGGAGGAGCTATCTCATGGAAAAGTGCGAAGCAGTCAGTCATTGTTGCATCCACTATGGAAGCTGAATTTGTGGCATGCTTTGAGGCCATGGTTCAGGCTAAATGGCTACGGAATTTTATTTCAAGACTTAGTGTAGTCGACAGTATTGCCAAGCCGTTGAAAATTTATTGTGATAATTCTGCAGCAGTCTTTTTTTCTAGAAACGACAAGTATTCTAAAGGTGCTAAACATATGGAATTGAAATACTTTGTCGTTAAAGAAGAGGTTCAGAAATATAGAGTGTCAATAGAACACATTAGCACTAGTCTTATGATTGTAGATCCTTTAACTAAAGGGTTACCGCCCAAGACATTTACTGGTCATGTCGTAAATATGGGTATTATGTTAGTTAGCGAATGTTGAAAATTATTGTAATGTCTTGTATGTTTGATACTCTGAGTTCACTAATGAAAATTTTTCTGAATATTTTTGTTTTCAAACTTATGTGCACGTGTATGAATGTTAATATTGGAAACAATTTATGTCTTTGAAATTGACATTATTGTTATCCAAATTATGTATTTCCTATTAAAGTTTCATGTTTAGAAGAAGGCTAATATAGTAGTACATGGAAGGGACTATGTCAAATAAGTGATGTACAACCGCCATGACTCTTATTAGTTCTTGTTCTAAATTATGACTTATGATATTATAAATGTATCATTATGTTTAATATTTATCAAACTATGATGTTGTATTTTGTCACATGAGCCAAGTGGGAGAATGTAAGAAATTAATGTCTCATGTGTGTGGCAAATGAAAGGATATGAATTTTGGGAATATATTATTCAATTATTTTGAATGGAAGGGTATGACTTCTGGGAAGGAGTTATTATGTTTTAATGAAGGGGTATATTGTTTGATGGAAATAATATATATATAATGGAAGGACATGAATAGTCTCTATCTCTGCCTATGAAAGTTTGTCTCTTAAAATTACCATCAAGAAATAAAGAGTACAAAGAAAAGATAAAGAAAAAGAGATAGAAAAGATTCTTCTTACAAATTCTACAAGATTCAAAGTCATCAATCTCATCATGGATCAAGGTTAGTGTTTCTATCTAATCTTATATGTGAAAACTATGAATTCTAAGATCCTATTTGATCATTCAAATATTATGTGAAATTTTACACATCCCTCATTGGTACAATATCTTTCATGTTTACAAATATTACCGACCCTACCAAATAGTGGAGTATAGCAAGAAATTAAATGACATGTCAATGTGATCAAATAGTCACACTATCATTTTCTCCGCCAGCCCTCAATTTCTCTCCAATGCCTAAAAGCCAGAGAAATTACATGGTTTACTATCGTGCCTCAACTCCAAAGTGTCGTCGATTACATGCATAATAGTCCTTATGACACCGAGCTTTAAAAAATAAACATGTCTTAGTCCAACATAGGGTCGACCATCAACATAGAGGTCCTGATAATATTGAGCTCCAAATATTATGTATTAGTTTTAATATGGTGTCAACAATCAACATAGTGGTCTCATTGCCATTGAGCTTAAAAAGAATTATGCCTTAACTCCAGCATCGTGTTAACCACCAACATAACAATCTGAATGACATCAAGCTTAAAAAACATTATCATGTTTCATGTATTTATATGACAAGTATATAATGAAAAAAAAAAAAGTATTACATGAAAATGTCACTAGAGATTCAAAATTAGAAGATTTATCAAATACTGGATAAGACACACGTAACTCATACTTTCACTAACTATGCACATCATAACAATTCATATTTCTCATGTTCTCATCATATCACTCGCCAACCAAATGATGTAAGTAGCATGTCCCAAAAGTAGTAATGTGACACTACATTTACCATAAAACTTTTCTTAGATAAAAAATAAATATCTTTCAAAAATAATTCAAATCTTGATTCTAAGAGCAAACAAACATCTCTCCCAATTTCACGTTACTTAAAAAAACATTTTTATCATGGATATTCCCTTAGAACTATGCTTCACAAAATATGATCCCTTTATAGATACATAACCATATGTTGTAGAACTGTTATCCTCCCGCTAAAAGCTAATAAGAACATAATAAGGTATCAAAGAGGTCAGTATAATAACACATTCACCTTTGGACAAAATGTACAAACTAAGGTCACATCCTCAACCAAAACCTCATATGTTTGTTATCATGATAATAAAGGGAGCCTATCCACACTATTTAATTAACCCTATACATCTTCTATCACGAGCCTTGAAGTTAAGCCTACACTTTTTTCACACTTATCAGAATTAGTTGCGCCCAAAATCTGTTATACTTAATCACATTATTAATAAGCTTAAGTATCATCATTTGGATCATAATATTAGCCCATTTTTAACAAAATAAAATTTACAATTTATTGTAGCCAAAAGAATCTATAGAAAATTCTAACACAATATTTTAAGAGATAGAATGAGAGAGATACTGTTACACATTACAAGCCCTTGTCCAAAGATTGTTTTTTTCAATAAAAGGTTTAGCATGCTAAGCATCAACTATAGAACTAAGACATTTCAACAAGGTTGACATCCCAAAGTCTACCACTCATTTACAACACACTAAAAAAATTATAAAAAAGAGGAAAATAGTAATAATAACATAGAGGGACTATATCAAAACTCATGTAGAAATCAACAAAACAAAAGAAGGTAAATCACAACGTTAAGAAAAAAAAACCTCTCAAACAAAAGAAAGCGGAATAGATCACCACTTGTAAAAAATTTTATGCTTTGAACCAAAATCAGCTAGTTTGTCTGTACATTAATTTCCCTCCCCATAAATATGAGAATAAAAAAGATGCATATGTGAATAGAGTGAAAGACAATGCCACCATACCACAAATGTTTCAACGAATAATTTAAGTGTTTCCAAAAGTGTCCAAAATAAACTTAGAATCACACTCTAACCAAAGCTTATGCCACCAACATCATGCACATGTTCAATAGCATACATAACAACAATAAGTTCAGCATGCAACACAATCTTTATAGTAATATAAGATACAAATCCACCCAAAAAAAAAACTTTTGTTACTATATCTAAAAAAGACTACCACAAGTAATATGAACAGGAAAGCTTTGAGCACCACCCTTTTCCAAAGATTAAAACTTGATATATTCTTATCAATAAGTGGGAGAATAGACTCCCTTACAACTATACTTACGATGAACAATTTTAACCCAAAAAACATCCTTTCAAGTACACAATTTGCACCACACTTCATCGTAAAGTCTTGACATCCCAAATAATTTGTATTATTGAATTGAGTAAATAAAGAGTTTAAGTTATTAAAAAAATAAATTTTAAATATATATTTTGTTTTAAAAAAATCAACTTTCTAACCTTTATAATCTATCCTAATTGGTCATTTCCGTAGGTTGAAGGAGAAAAATTATTAAGTGATATTAACCCTAAGTTTTAGCTTAAAGCTTTACCTTTAATTAATAAATCGGTTCACTCAGAATTAAAATGACATATATTTGATTCTTAAGTTAAATTAAAGATTAGTTTCAAGCTAAGTATGATATTATACTAAGTTATCCATTTAAAATCTTCAATTTATAAGTTATATACACCTTAAACTTAATCGGTTTATTTTTAGGTAACTACCTAGATAATGTACAACTTATACATCTTAAATAATTAACGCTCAACTAAAATTCAATTGACTGAGAAATTAAAATTGTGTAACTTTATAATAATTCTTTTATTCATTTAAAACATTCACCGTTACAATTTAGAAACTCCTACATTATACACATTTATTAGTTATCGTTGAACCTTTGACATAAACTGTCAAATAGCATTAAATTAAAAATTAATAAAGTAAGCTTTATACGAAAGGAGATTAATTGCTTTAAAGAGTGTGGTCAAAATATGAACCAAAAAGTTCTTTTTATAAAAGTGACATCCACATATAATAAATCAAAAATTATTTTCATTTTTTTTAAGATATATACAATCCTGCAACCTAAATTAATAAAATTATTATAGATTTTGATAAATTTTGTCACATCTTTTTCATATTTAAAAAAAAAATTTAATTTAAAGTAACTGCATCTATTAAATTGTGCAACAATGTATCAAGCGGGAAAAAGATGTAGCTGTGTATGAATCATCAGCCCTTGACCATCTACACAGCAAGGGGCTCAATATTTTATGAGAAAAGATGTAGTTAAGCATGTAGCATTGGCTCACATAACTCTTTAATACAAATATAATTTCATAATATTCAATCGCCCATCTCCACAAATGGCATATAATTCCTAACACTTGTCTATATAAAAAATTCAAGGCAAAAAAGAATGTTCACCTATTAAGTATCTGTTAAATTTTTTTAAAGAGATTATTTTTTGTGGGGTTCAACAAAAAAAAATACTCTTTGGTAATGAATTCAAAAAATGGCATATAATTGGCCAAAATTGGAAAAGGATAAAATATACATACAAGAAGAAGAATTTATACATAGCAGCACCAAGGTTGTAATTTGTAAAAGTGGTATAGGGGCCACTCCATCGATCACACCAAATCTAACATTCAGTAAGAAGATCTCAAACCATTTCTTACAATAGAAATAGCAGGGCTCAGTACCTTTGGCCATGTATGGGCATTTGGGTATAGCCGATTAATTGTCTTAGCCTAGTGACGTCTTTAGCATATTGAAACCTGTATTCTGGCAGATACCCCTCTGAGCGCAACTCATTTCCTGATAAGCCTCGTGTTAAGAAACATAAGTCATAATGCATCAAAGAAAATTTTATTAAAAAAACGTATTAATTCAATTGGACAAAAAGAAATCACCCAAGTGAAACTCACTGCATTGACTAAAGGATTGTCAGCCTCTTCTCCAAGGTACGCTAAAGTTGTTCCAGAATCAATAATAGTACCTTTGTTGTTTGATGTAGTGAAAACTACAGGATAAATTTGCAAAATTTAGCTATTGACAGAGATGATGTGCAGATTTAAATAGAAATAGGACCTGAAATATTTGCCAAGGAAGCAATAAGTGCTCCGACTCTATAACTATTATAGCTTTTAGTTCTTCATGAAATAATTGGTAGATTGCAACCCCGACACCCAGTATATTTAACATTATAATTGACTTTATGAGGTTAACCCTTTGTTCTGCATAAAAATGACAACCGAAAGAAAAATGCTAGATGTTCCGAAATCCACACATCGAATGATCCTCCAACCCATTGAAAGTTTAACATCTGTCAATTTATTTAATTTAATATTATCAATTTTAACGGTCGGAAGATAATTTGACGTTTAAGAGGCGGAGGCGGTAGCATTCCTCCAACCAAAAAGATCCATGAACTTACTTTCAACTCCATTAACTGATTAAAGGCATGTTTGAATAAATTTCTCCAAAAATATTTTAAGAAAAATTAAGAAGGGAAATGTAATAAACATCTTCATAACTAAAATCAGTTTATGCACAACTTAAAAATAAAGTTTTAGAGAAATAAATAAGAGATAGATTCTATAAATTAATTTATGCATAAACTATTTTAATTAATAGAAAATTTTATTTCATTTTTTTCTTTCTATTTTTCTCTTTTAAAAGTACTTCCGGAGATATTTACCGAAACATACCTTAGTTGACTTTGGTTTGGTGACTCAATTGAGTCAATTCCTCCCATATTCACAATCAGAGCAGAGTCTTTAAACCCATAACAAAACTGAACCAGAATGGTAGCACCCAAAAGGACCTTAACAGCTCAACAGTATAAAAATTAACAAAATAGGAACAAAATCACAAGTACGCAACAAACTTTGTGAAACAAACACCATCAGCAGCACAGGATAGAATATAAATAATTCATTCAAACCTGGTGTAGCAGAATATAAATGTTTTGTAGCAGTCACAGAATCAGCAACATTGTTTTGTCTCTGCACTAATTTAATAGAACCAAAAAGAGGAAAAAAGATCAGATATGAAAATTAGGGAGAAAATAGAGTCGAAATTGCACCACAAACAATGAAAAAATCTTTGATATGAGAATCAAAAACAGAATTGCACACACAATCAACAGAAAATCACCACAAAATGAGATTAGGGTTCAAACAATTTTGAGTGTATGAGAGTCGTGAGTGAGAATCAGATGAACCGAGATGAATGAGTGATATGTTTTTTTGAGAAAGAAATGGATTTGACTGGACCACTAGCAGCACCTCACTAAATTGCATAATCGGTGCACCGAGTTGTTGTTGCAAGTGTCAACAAATAGAAACCTTTCCAGCTAAAAAACGATTTTGATTAGGAATTTAACCAAATCTGAGGCCTATCAAGAATCAGTGAAGTCAAACCAGAATGATCGCCAATCTAGGAGAGTTGGTGTATGTATATATAATCATCATCATTATGTCTGGCACCAAATAAATTCAAACCTGCAAGTCTGCAAGGGTAACACAGATATTAACATGTGATGTAGGTTAGATGGACTACAAAAGAATATCTAAATTACGGTCATCCACTGATGTCTGTTCATCCACATTCCACCATAACATTTCATTAAATGTTTAATGGAGGAAATTATCAAACAATGCATTAGGAATTCAGTTTACCTTTTCAATGTAATTCTAAAGCTATGAAGGTCTGACCAGGTTGTGGGTACCTCCAATCATAAAATGTCGAAAGCTGATTTCATGTCATATATGTTATATTGATCCCTCATGTGTACAGCTAAAGTATTCAATATAATATGAATATTTTCAGGTCTCAGCTTTGCCGGATCATGCGACAGAAAATGTTGTATTTGATTTTGCACTTCAATCCAGCTGCAACCAGGTTGCTTTCCAGCTCTTTTGTCTCTCATTAGTATCCTTACTCTTTCAACCTCTTCCCATCTACCAGCCTCTGCAAGCATGTTTGACAAGGTAATGTAATTGGAGGCATTATGTGGTTCAAGTTCGAACAGCCTCTCAGCAGCAAATCTGCCAAGTTCCAGGTTTTTGTGTACACGACAAGCCCCAAGCAGTGATCCCCATAATCCAGCATTTGCTTTTACCTTCATCCCCCTCACTGTATTGAATGCTTCCTCTAGCCTACCCATGCGACCAAGCAAGTCAACAAGGCAGCTGTAGTGTTCTGCCAAGGGTTCAATAACAAAATCTTCAATCATGCATTTAAAAAAATCCAAACCCTGATTTGCTAAACCAGCATGACTACATGCTGACAACATCCCAATAAAAGTAACCTCATCAGGCACCACTTGCTCTGATAACATTTGTCCAAAGACCTTAAATGCCTCATTTGCATATCCATTCAAAGCATAACCCGAAATCAAGGAATTCCAGGAAATAAGATCAACATATTCAATATCACTGAACACTTGTTCGGCATTTTGTACCCTTCCACATTTTGCATACATGGAAATCAGGGCATTGCTGACAAATAAATCATTCATATAACCACTTTTCAGAATGTATTCATGAAGTTGCTTGCCTACTTGCAAAGAAGCTAGGTTAGCACATGCACTTACGGCACATGCAAAAGTTGATTGATCAGGTTTCTTTCCTTCTTGCCCCATCATAACCAAACTCTTAATAGTTTCCAAGTATAGATTATTTTGTAGGAAACCTGAAATAAGAGAATTCCATGAAACTATATTCCTCTCCTCCATGGCCTGAAAGACCTCAGTTGCTCTATCCATTTGTCCTGCTTGAGCATATCCGGAAATCATTGTATTCCATGAAACAGCATTCTTAATGGGCATTTGTCTAAATAAATCGAGAGCTTCATCCATTCTTCCACTCTGGGAATAGCCTGCAATCATGCTGTTCCAACAAATAACATCACGTCCACCAATTTGACGAAACATTTGATTAGCCTCATCTATCCTTCCATTTTGTATTAATCCAGACATCAATGCTGTTTTTGCTGCTATGTCTTTGCAAGGCATCCGATAATATACTTCCCGTGCTTCATCTAGCTTACCAACTCGAATGTACCCATTAATTATTGTAGTCCACGATACACTATCCTTGTTTGGCATTTTCATGAACAACTTAACAGCTTCATCAATTTGTAAGTCTTGAACATAGGCTGCAATCATTGCATTCCAAGAAACCACATTCTTACTAGGCATCCTGTCAAAAAGTCCCCTGGCTTCTGTAATCTTTCCATATTTTGCAAACCCACACAACATTGTAACCCAAGAAACAACATTAGGATTTGGAATCTTTTCAAACAATTGCCAAGCAGAACTCAGGTCACCAGCGTTAACATACCCAGCCACCATCAAATTCCACGAAACCTCATTCTTCTCGGTCATCCTGTCAAAAAAGTGCAATGCTAAATGCATTTTCCCATTTTGTGTATACCCAGCTAGCATTGAGTTGTAAGAAACCAAATCCTTTAGCGGCATCTTCTCAAACACTTTCATAGCATCATTGAATTTGCCCTTCTTTGCATAACCAGCTATCATTGCATTCCAACATGCAGTGTCCAACTTATCAGGAACCAACTCAAGCAGTTCTCTGGCCTTTTCAAGTTTCCCTTTACGCGTATAGCAAGTTATCATCAAAGCCCAGGAAAAATTGTCTCTTTCAGGCATTATGTCAAACAAGTGACGGGCTTCTTCAACCATATTGTTGTGAAGATATCCAGCAATCATGGAGTTCCAAGAAACAAGGTTTCGTAAGGACATTTTATCAAACAGTTGCCGAGCATGACTAATTCTAGCATTTTTGGCTAAGACGGATATCATGGAATTGTATGTTACAAGGTTTTTGTGGGTCATGTTAGAGAAGATTCTGATGGCCTCTTCAACTTTTCCCATTTTGCCAAGATGAATAATCTGGCGATTATGGTTGAAGACATGTTTTCCTCCTTCACCTATTGATCCAATTCCAAGCTTAAGTGACATTGAAGCTCAGTTGCCTGAATCAATGGAATGGGCTTGGATTCTTTTACCCAATCATATGCATATAAGAAAAATAGGACCTAATGATTCAATAGTAAACGCATTCTAATAATTTGATTTTCATCGATATACTAGGTTTGACCGCAGTCTATATGTAATTAAAAATTATATTTATACAATTTTTCTGAATTTTAATTTTTGTGCATCTTAATTATCGATCAATAAAAAAAATTATATTGTAGCCAGTGTCTAAATCAATAGATAAAAATAATAATAATAAATAAAAAAGTTATAGTAAATACAACTTTTAAAATCATAATTGTAAATATAAACAATTTTTATATTTCAATTTATGATTCTCAATAGATAGATTACTTATTCATCTTTCTATATGATATTTAAGGAAATATATTTTTTAATATAAAAGTGTGAGAAGGAAATGGAAGAAGAGTACATAAATGTATTAAAATAAACTTGTTTGGTATATAAATTTATTTTAAAAGTTTATAATATATTTTGTTAAAAAAAAGAAAAAGTTATCTTCAAAAATTTACTTGAAATCCTCTTTTACTCAAATCATTTAACTTATTTTTTCATTTTTTCACTTTTATTATAAAACTATTTTATGTCATTTTATATTTATCATATAATCTTACTATATTTTCAATTCAACCATATACTTTTTAAGTGTTATTTTGTTTCTAGCTTATATTTTGTAAGTTTTCAGAAATATTATAAATTAATTGTACTAAATACATCATTAGAAAACTAGAAATGTACAAATTAAACGATTAAATAAAAGTGTTCAATAAAATTAGTCAACAAATATAAAATAACATAAAAGAAAATAGTTGATTATTTAAAATTAACTGATGAAAATAAAATATATAAAAAAAATAATTTATAAGTTAACTTATTTTGTTAGTTGAAGTAACCATTCTATACACTCTTTGCAATAATAACATATGTGAAGATTATCAAACACACACTATGCACTAATATATGTGAAGATGAAAAAAAAAAGAAGAAAAAAAAAAAGGAAAAACATTTCATTATTATTCTTGAGCACAGGCAGTGAAAAGTATGTAACATTCATGTTTCTGCAATTGTAACATGAAAATCAGACAGTGATCCTCTCCCACTAGCAAATTTCTTCATCGTATTCAAGGTGGGAGCTTCCACTGTGCCTGATGCCTTCTCTTCCAACACCTTATCATTATGCTTTCGCCCCTCCTTATGAATCCAAAGCAGAATCTTATTCTTTTCACCTACACACTCACTCTTCTGGGCCTGGGACTGGGCCTGGACCTGGGCCCTTTTCTGCTTCCGGGCCTTCCTCTTCTTCTTTCCCTGAACCTGACCCATGCAAGACACTTTGGGCGATGTGGGCTCTCTGGCGCTAAAGCTTTCGCCCCTGTGCTTCCTTCGCGCTTCCTTCGGAATTATCGAAACCAAATGTGCCGGTGATCGACAAGGACTCAACGTTGGATTCTGAAACGCTACAACTAAATCCACTGGTTGTTTCGACAAAAACTTTAGGAAATTGGTTTTAATCCGAAACAGTTTCTCCATCTCAATTCAGACACTAACAAGTAACAAGTCACAAGAGCATATGATATCATGTCAATACATATATTAAGGACCGTGTGAGGTACATGAAAAGGGTGACTCATGATTACAAATCATCTAATCAGAAAAAACAAAAATAGGGGCGAATTAAAAAAATATTATGGTTGACCTTGAATAAGTGATCGTACATGTGTTGCGTGCAATTGTAGTTGTAGTAGAGTTAACTAAGAGTGGAAGAAACGGTTATTTGCAACATGCTTAAGTTGCCGGCACAATATAAAACTATATGAAGCTTGGATTTGGTCATGATTTCGTAGATTGATGCGTCATTGTGACACCAACGTTGTCCACTTGTTTGGAAGTGAAATTTTTTATTAAAGTATCAAATGATCTTTTCCAACACCAGGTTTTAAATTTTCGATTTCGTTTGGGTATGATTCTTTGTTGCTTCTTTTCTTCCTTTCCTTTTGTCTTTTGGGAAGTTCGTACTGTTCTGTTTTAATATTGTAAGAATATAAAGTAATAATTTTAGTTATTGAGGAATGTCAGGAGGTATGAAGTACTGTTCCTCTAATTGAAAGTTAGCTTTTCTACATGTGATCAAGTGAATGTTTTAATTTGTCATAATTTTTTTGAATTGAATTTATAACAGTTATGTTCTTTTAAAAAAAATGTAATGGGACCAAATATTTCAAGACCGAAGCAATAAACTTTAAATTATGTTTACACTACTAAAGCATAAATGTGAGTTTGGTATGAGTTCCGCAAGGATTAGTCAACAGTTCATGAACTTCATGCCAGATGGTGGTATCTGGTAAGTTCAGAGTTTGGTTCGATCCCCTCCCAAAATTAACTATTCCTTAGCCGACTTTCAACTATTTAATGCCAAATCAAATAGAAGTACGTATCCTCCGTTGAAAATTCAACAAATTAAAACATATAAATCAAGTTTCACACATTCCATTTTTCTTGATTTAAAGCTCCCCACCAAGGTTAAGATAGTTCGGAGGAGTGATACGGTGAAAATAAGGTATTTCAGTGGTGTAATTTTCACTTTTCAAACATGTTTGGCGGTTTAAGTTATGTTAGGTTAGAAGACACATTTTAAAATAATATTAAAATTTATCTTAATATTTTCAAGTTCACCCACTATTAAGTTGATATTGGATATACATAAATATTTAGTCTTATAAATTTTATACTTTTAATGTCTAATTTTGGATAAGATATGAATTGAAGCTTTAATATTAACTAATAATATAAATAAAATAAAGTATATAAGTAGGAATAATTCTTACTTTATATAGGAATTCTTTTCATTATTTGTGTGTTCTCAAATTTTGAAGGAAAAAAAGTCAATTTTCACAAAGAATAAGAACATAAAAACTTCGTTAAAAGAGAAATGGATGAGATTGACAAAAAGAAGCTCATTAAATAAAATGCAAGATCTAAGATTTGTATTCTATAATAAATTTCAACAAATGAAAGAATGTGATAAACATTTTGTGTTGCTAACATTTCAATTTTTTTGTTGATAACATAGTTCTCCCAAAGTTGACAAAAACTAATCTAACAAAATATGATAAATGCATATATGCATATAGTTACTTTTTAAAGTTACCTTTTTTTTTATTAATATTCATTTTAATCACTTACAAGTTATGAATTAGTATGCATTTTCCGTGGGATAATCAACTCTCAACTCTTAAATGTTAAATGTTATGATCTCTAATGAATATTATTGCTTAAATACCACACTTTCTTAAATATGTTTAGATAAAAGATTTTAATAGAGTAATTCAATTTTTTGAAAATTTTCAAATGCTTTAGTATGAAATGTTTTCTTTAAATGAAGAATTTATAAGAAAATTTAAATTTTAAATATTTGAAAAATTTCTTAAGAATGTTTGGATGGGATATTATAATGGAGCAACTCAATTTTTTAAAGAAATTCAAATTCTTTTAGCATAAAATATTTTATTTGAATAAAGAATTTACAAAAAAAATTAAAATTTAAGTATTTGTAAAAAAAAAATTAATTATAAAATTTTAAATTTTTCCATAAAAAATAAAAAATTAAAATTCTTTTTTGTCCCTCCTATCTCTCTCTTCTCTCTTTCAAAATCGATATAAAAAATATTGACAATTTTTAATATTATTTAATATTTAAATTTATTTTTAAATTATTAAATATTATCTAGTAATAATTTTTAAATTTATTAGTTTTATAAAATTCACTAATATTTAATTTTACAAAACTTAATTTTAAGAATTTAACTTTATCTATAGTAAAAAATAAATTATCCTATCAAAACTAAAAGTTTTAAATTTTAAATTTTAAATTACCTTTTCCAAATAAAAAATTTAACAAATGATGAAAATTGAAATTAAAAAAAAACTTAAATTCTATATTTTAAATTCTTTAAATTTCTAAAATTCTTCGTTTTAAACATACCCGGTTGTTACATACCCGATCATGATGAAAAAATATTATGTTCTACATTTAATAAGATCTGATTGGAGATTATTTGATATTATTAGAAAATTAAGTTGAGTGTAGAAGTCATAAATTAAATAAAACTGCTTAATAGCTTTATGACAATCAGTTTTTTTTTTTTTTTGTGCCTTCGGTGAGCTTGTGTAAACTGTCTTTTACCACGCCATCTTTTTTTCACATTACTTTGTGTGTATATGCAGCGCAACGTAACGAGTAGTTGAGCAATCTAAAGCCTCTAGTTTTATGATTGATCAATTAGTTTAACAAATTTCTTAAGTTTGAACGTTAAGTTATTTTCATCTGATAAAAGCCTGCCCTAATTTTATACTTGGTAGTTTATGGTCAAAACTCAATGTCAACAACATGAATATAAAAACCATGATTGACGTCAATATACTCAGTTTCACGTACTAATCCGAAATCCTATGAAATAACCTTTGCATAAAATAGGCTCCCATATTTAGAGAAAAACAAATTTAAGATAAACCTGAATATACCATTTATTTTATAAGTAGGCCCGGATATCGTTTGTTCAACATCCGTACCAATGTTCAGTAAATATTTTACAGTCATCAAATATCATCCTCAACTTTACATGCACGCGTTGAATAATCTTAATAAACAGTAAGACCTAATCACAACCCATGCTTAAAAAATGTTCAACTCTAAAGCAGAATTTGAATAACAGTTTGACGTGCTTTTCAGAAGTTATTGTTAACAGGGACACAAATATCAAACTAAAAGATCTTGAACAGCTCAATGTCTCATTCCAGCAGAATTTAAATCCTCTGTCCAGCCACAAGTTGTCCTGAACATTTTCACAGGACTCAGATACTTTTCAATAATGCTTAAATTCAAACTTAAGGATACAGTCTTTTTCACAGTTGTATAATCCAAAACCTAAATCATTTCAATCCTCCCACCCAAAAATGGGGGAAAAAAATCATATTTCGAGAATTATCGAATCTAATAATCATGTGAAACCACTACAATAAAAGAACTTTTTAATACTAAACCCTTGGTTCACTCTTCAAGTAACGGACATCAATTGCAAATTTTCCTGAACGCATTTTGGCCAAATAGACAGTTCACACAATTTTAACCAACAGAATAGAAAGATGGAGAATTAAGATATCTTTACAGTCAACAAATGTTTCTTGTTAAGAATTTCTGAACTACTTATATCGTAAAATACTCCATCCAATAAGATAAAAAATCAAAGTCATTTGCAGTTTGCTTCAACATATCTGTTAGTTTACCTCAGCGAGTGCCTCTATCATCCTTGTCATTAGTTTGTGGAGTGTACTGACTGGTTGACGATGGTGAGTAACCAGGTTGACTTGGTGAGTAACCCGTACTGGGACTGCAAATGATCAAACAGAATGAAAAAAACAGACCGTGATCAGCAATATGCCTTCCATACAATTAGTAGTTAAAGAATGATCCGTATATGTGCATACCTAAATTGGGGAGAACTTGGGCTATAGTCTGGGCTCACACCAGAATTATATGGGCTAGAAAAAAGGAGGAAAATGAACAAGTCACATAAATAGCCCAAAGATTAACAAATAACAACACGAGAAAAGATAAAACAAAAATCTCAAATTCTACTGCTGTTCTTATCACCAACAACATGAGATGGAGTTAACTTACCTGCTGGGACTGTATGTTGGGCTTGATGGAGAATAAGATGGAGATGTCGGTGAATATGATGGCGATGTCGGGCTGGAAAATAATAAATTAGACATATGCTTGGTTTAAAGTGACTCAATAAATATGCAATTGAGAGACAAAAAACACAGACGAGACTTTATTCGACCACCCCCAACAAGCTAATCATTGAACAAAGAACAATTTGAAATATACCAAAGTAAAATAACTTCTATTACAAAAGGTTGAGGATTTTCCTCAACAAAATTCTTAACTAGAAAATGAAGGGAATGAGATTCAAGTTTTTGTGGCATATCAGTGTTTAAAGATTCTGTGTATCGCATTCCGTACCCAAAATAAATATTAAAAAATCCAGAGAATTACTCACCTATAGTTTGGAGATGTTGGACTATATGGACTTGATGGAGACAATCTTGGACTGCTTGGAGAATATGCTAATGAAGGACTATACTTTGCTGACTGTGGATTGTAACTAGGGGAAGTAGGACTATACGATGGAGAAGTTGGGCTATACGATGGAGATGTTGGGCTATATGAGGGTGATGTTGGGCTGTATGAGGGTGATGTTGGGCTGTATCCAGGAGACGTGGGGCTGTATGCAGGAGATGTGGGACTGTATGAGGGTGATGTGGGGCTGTAAGAAGGCGAGGTTGGACTATACGAAGGTGATGTCGGGCTATATGATGGAGAAGTAGGACTATATGCAGGTGATGTGGGGCTGTATGCAGGAGAGGTGGGGCTGTATGCAGGTGAGGTGGGGCTATAGCTGGGAGATGTGGGACTATAGCTCGGTGATGTGGGACTGTAGCTCGGTGATGTGGGACTGTAGCTAGGGGACGTGGGAGAGTAGGATGGACTGGTAGGTGAATAGGCTGGACTTGTAGGACTGTATCCCGGAGAGCTGGGACTATAAGTTGGAGAGGTAGGGCTGTACCCAGGTGATGTGGGGCTGTACCCAGGTGATGTGGGACTGTAACCTGGTGAGGTGGGGCTGTACCCAGGCGATGATGGACTATAGCCTGGAGATGATGGACTGTAACCAGGAGATGAAGTAGGAGAAAATGCCATCCCACCAACATAAGGTGAAAACTGGGCATCAGTAGTAGGAGACAGACGTAAATTTGGGCTCAACAAATAACTGGGAGACATCAAGCCTTCATGGTATGGAGTTCCAGATATTGGGGAGCGAGCAGGA